AAGTAACTATCAGATGCTTACAGAAAGATCTGGAAGGATCTCAAAGGGTTTCACTGTTGCCATGGAGCCCATAATCATTGCTCGTTTTTCTTCCCTATTTGCTATTATTTGAAGTTTGTGCCCCTCTGGTAAGCCACCATCAATGAGATCATGCTGATAGGCCAGAGGTCCTCAGAGAAAGAACACATACACTCACCTGTGGTTTAAATGTATGCACAGATCCTTTAACTGCTTGGGAGGAATGCACAGTCAGTACAAAGTAACCCTGTGTGCAATGTGTGCACTGATGCCTAACGGTGCTTTATTATTTCTATGCAGATGCTTTGCATATTTCATTGGACCACCAGTGCAGAGCAGAGCATTAATGACAGGAACACTATTCCAGTGGGATTTTGAGACAGCATACATGGAAACATACATGGACACACACACACAGCACACACACATACTGTACTCTAGCTTTTAGCTGTATCCTCTCCCCAGGGGCAGCAGTCACATGGAATGAAGCTCTGAAGACCTCGATTATACAACTAATTACAAAATACCTGTGATGCAAATAACACTAAAAGCTTCACTAGGTATGCACAATGCATGTCATTCTTTACATTAAAAAACAACAAGCCAAAGCTTGAATTAACAGTTCAATCAAAACTGTTTGATCAAAAACAGTAATATTATGAAATATTATTACAATTTAAAATACATTTATATATGAATATATTTTAAAATGTAATTTATTCATGTGATGGGAAAACTGAATTTGCGGCAGCCATTATTCCAGTCTTCAGTGTTACATGATCCTTCAGAAATGATTTTAATATGCCAATTTGGTGCTCAACAAACATTTCTTATTATTATCAATATTGAAAACAGTTGTGCTGCTAAATATGTGTGGAAAATTTGATAGAATATCACATTTAGAATACAGAATTTTATATTATATTACATCACATTGTTTATTATATATTTTTCACAACCCCCTGGTTTAAAAAGCCAGAGCTTTAGCATTATTAAGAGCCATACATGACACTGACTCTTCAACCCTAAAGGAAACAGCCCATGTACAACTCTTAAATGAAGTAGCAGATGCTGTATAGCCAATCACTCTCATTCCAGTAAGGTCATCAATCATATCATGATTTAAATACATACATTCCACTCCCACCAGAGGAACCATATAAAGAACACCTTTAAATGTATTGCCAATACAGCTGATGTTGCTGTTCAAAGCCCTTGATGCAGGCTTTCCATACCTGATGCTGCACTCTCTCATCGGTAAATGCACATGAGCTATTCATGAAGCAATACTGAATATACACCTGGCAAATGACGTTTAACAAATGCCCCTTTAGAACAACAGATCTCATAACAACAAGCTCACGCAGCACGCCAAGCTATGAATAATCTGATTGTGCTGTTAATATTTATTAGTGCATCGAGGGTCAGAAGCGGCATAGATTAGCATTTTGATAAGGGCAAATAGTCCTTCATTTACAAAGTAATCACTGTAGGTGATTTGAATGCCTGATAGATGCTTAATAAAGTCTGTGGGTCAGTGTGGTGATAAGCAGGCTCATCTATGTCAAAGTAAATATGAGCGCAGTCACCCGTGATGCATAATTTTCTATATTCATAAATATTTTTAAAAAGCTATATGGATATGTATAGCCAGTAGAATTTTGGTTATTCAATGGGGAAAATATAGGCAGTAATTGGTTGAGCCCACAATCATAGTGAAACTGTGATGTTTTCATTGACATTTTCATACCAAATACCATGTAACTGTAACTGCAAAAGCAGGTAGATTACTATGCAAGCACTAATGCTTGATCTCAACATACACTATTAAAAACAGATTCTTTACTGGCATTAATGGTTCCTTAAAGAACCTTTCACATCCATATACTTCTAAAAATAAAGGTTCCAAAAGGGTGTTTTCACAGTAATGCCATAGAAGAACCATCTTTTGATTCCCCTAAGAACCTTTAAGTTAACATTTCTTAAGAGAACCATTTTTTTTTAGTGTGAAGAACATTTAAAAAATATAAAGAACCTTTTGTGCACTGAAAAGGTTCCATGGATGTTAAAGGTTCTTCATGAAACCATTGATGCCAATAAATAACTCTTTTATAAGAGTGTGGTACCTTTCCGTTGCACAAAATGTTCTTTATAGTGGAAGAAGGTTCTTTAAATTATCAAAATGATTATCAAAACTTTTATTTTAGTTCTTTTAAGAACTATTCAGTGTTTGCTACCACAGCTGTCACTAAATGCAGAATGGTAAAACACTAAACCCCAATCTCTGAACCAAATTCTCACTAGCTTTGTCGAATAAAGCACTCTTTCTGCTAAACCTTAAACACGTTCAGGCAGTTAGGCTCTATTTGCAAATCTCATGCACTCTTTTTGCAAAACTCTAAACATATTCTCATTCACTTAAACACTTATCACACTGTGATGCATTTGTGCTGCAAAATGCTAAACACAAGCGGCAAAAGTTAAACACAACTAAAGCACAGTTGTCATCGTTTACACACAACGATTCAAAATTGTTCACACTTGTTTCTAATGATGTGATCAAACCAACTGTACACAATATGAGCCAGTTCAGAGTGCACAAGTGGCACGTGTGAATGAATGATGACACGAGCAATAGATGGAAACAATCTGAGAAGGAGAGGAGGAAGAGTACATGTAAGAAGTAGAAGAAGAGGATGAGGAGAGAAGGAGTAAGGTTTAGAGAGTGTTATCAAGGCTGGATCTGTCAGACCAGAGGGGGTTTTTTCTCTTTGTCTAGCAAAAAAAGACAACATTACTTGTGATGTGGACAGAGTCCTCAGGTGGGACTCAAGCACAAAGACATGATGCTGCTGAGACAGAATGAATGTCTCATTGACCCTGATTTTACAATTGCACAACTTACAGTATTTGAGTGTACTGTAACATGCTATTCATTCAGAGTTTTATTTCACCTTTTTGGCCTTTGCAGTTGGACTGCAGTATTTTTGCAGTATCCAAGTTCTGAATATATATATAAACATTCAGTACTATTCAATATTCAGCACAATACTATTCTTGCAGTATAGGCCTATACAATATATTCACCTTACTCAGTTGCAATTACTATACTTTTTTACAGAATTGCAAAATTGTTTACTCAATACAATATTTTTTTTTCTGTAATGTTCTGGATGCTGTGGTCTCCATTTTTCTCTATAGTGTCTAATGAATGCTCTGTAGTGTTTATTTTATTGACTCATGTGTGTGTGTGTGATCTGAGAGCACCGGTTGATTTTGAGTGCAAGTGAAATAGTTTTGCAGTGATTGTTTGATTTTGATGCAAGAGTCAGAGGTTTTGTGAATTTAGTTTGAGTATGTAGATTTGTGTTTAAGGTTTTGAGAAAATTTGTGATGGTTTCAAGAAATGTGTTTTTAGGAATTCAGAAAAACTGTAACTTCAGCACTGCCTGTTCATTGGATGGCTGTTTATCTGTTCGAGAGTGATACTTGCTGAACTCACTTCCTGTCGCTCTGTAAACACCCACTGACAAGAGTCTCAGTTGGGCACAGGTGCCCTGCCACAAAGTGACAACAGCTGCCATCAAGTCTCTGAGGGGAAATATAAATATGTGTGTGTGTGTGTGTGTGTGTGTTTAAAGAGCTCCTGTGTGGGCTAGGATCACTGGCAAAGGACAAGTGCTTCAGTTTAGCAGTGGCACAAGCTGACAAGGAAAATAGCCACTGGTTTATATGAGATTGAGAGAGAGAAAAGCAGAAAGAGAGTAAATGGTGGGAAAAGTAGGATCTGACAATGCCTATCGATCATAAATGCACATATAGCCTATACAAGTAACATCTATGACTGACTGCAGTGACACCCGGCCATAAGCAGCACTCTCCAACATAAAGTGACAGCTTGTCGCTCTCATTATAGTACCATGTGCTATTGTGCCAAGCGGGCTGCAACACACAAACAGCCAGTTAAAACATATCCAACTGACCTTAATTCAATATTTTTGTGTGGTTCTCCAGTAAAAATATCTAAACATCCTTAAAATAAGATACATTTTCTTGAAATATTATGTAAAATATTAAAGACTTTTACATGTAAACCTCACTACATTTTGTTATCTGTATACTTTAAAAAAATATATAAATAATATTTAATAAAGTAATTAAAGTAAATCTGTTAATGAATGAAGTAATCTGTTTGGAAACATAACAATAGTCAAAATATTACTTTACAGACACATTTAAAAAGTCAAAATATTACTTCCTATGTATTGACATTGTTTTAAGAACATTTTTATTGGAAAACCTAAAAAAATATATAGATTAACCAGTACTTTTCCCCTTTTTCCCAGTAAAAATATCTGAATATCCCTAAAATAAGTAAATAAACAAATTTACCTTAAATATTGTGTAGATTGTATAAACACAATATTTATATTTTTATTATATTTAATAAAAAAAGATGTTAAGGACTTTTAAATGTAATCCTCACTAAATTGTGTTAGATGTATACCGTAAAAAGTAAAAGTAAATAAATAATTTTAAAGTAATAAAGTAATCTGCTATCAGGTTTGGGAAAAATATACTTAATTTAAGATATATTCTCTGACACCTAAAAGTCAAAATATTAGTTCCCAGGTACAGAACATTCCCAGGTAAAAACTTTGAACTGGACAATAAAAGAAAAACAGATTGAAAATTATAAAAAAAATGATGTTGACATTTAAAATTGAATATAATAAAATATTGCAAGGTCTAACAAAATCTCATTGTTCATCCAGATTGCATTTCCTATGCAACCATTTGACAAATGTGTTACATCATGTGGGGTTTTCTTTCAAGAGAAAAGTCAAATTCACAATTTTAAAAAAAATGTAACTGTCAAATCAAGTTTTGTGTGTGTGTGTGTGTGTGTGTGTGTGTTTTAATGCAATTTCAATCACAAGTCTGAAAAATGCAACACTCAAGATAAGATTTAGAGTTCTTACCTCTGGTGGTCTCATCTTCAATGGGCTGCTTGAAGACAGTGATGTCCTTAAAAGTACAGAGGAACAGGACCACTTTATCGTTCTCATTGCTGATGGGGGCCACCTGCATGTACAGCCACACAGGGGTTCCTGACAGCACCGGATGAACACAATGAGAGAGGAGAGAGGGTGAGATGAAAGGAAAGTATGAAAAGTATGTAAAGAGAAGTGAATTGAGGGTTTAAAAGAAGTCATGACCAGGAAGTTAAAAGACATGGATGAAAATGATGAGAATGGTGAGGGAAAGTGAAAGTGGCAGAGAGGTCCAAGGAAGGGAAGGAGAAGAATAAATGATGATGTGATTATTGTGGCGAATAAAAATCGCAGGAGAAAGACAGGAATTGAGAAAAAGGAGGGAGACAGGAAGATCATTGAGAGCAAGGTTTTCAGTTCACCCATATGAGAAATATACTGTGTAACCCATGTGCCTAATGGGTCATTACATTGGAGCTTAACAGGACAGCTTTATCTTATAGAGGCAACATGGGGAGATTTATCTTTATAGTAGCTGCATTAGAAAAATTCAAGAGTGGAGAGGATGCAATTGTGCCCAAAATGCAAGATGCCTCGAGGTGTAAATGATCAAATAACTCAGCAAAGATGTTAAGTTTTTAGGGATGGGCATGAGTAGCCGATGATCGTTCATGATCATAAATTACGTGACTGTTAACAGAATCTGGGTAAGGAGAGTAAGGAGATAAGAGCACACACATACACAGACACAACTCGACAGCTAAACCGAGCGTAACTGAATGGAACAGAACACGGGTTCTTCAGACTCTTTAAAATAACTGTTTTAACTTGTTACAGCGTATCGTCACAATGTAGGATCTTAGTTGTAATTAACGTCAGACTTGTTAAAAATGGACATATGTAAAAAGAATCTTTTAGCATGTGCAAAATTTGTCTCATTGTGGCCAAAATTGTACAGTGTGCACCCAGCTTTTTGTCAAGCAACCTGTGGTGAAAATAGAAAGTGAACCACAGGCCAACAGCGCTAAAAAATAATATAACGCGATGTAACAACCAAACTTACTCATGACAAATATAAACATTACATCAAATATTTAGTATCTGCACAGTTCCCAGAGTACTTGAGTAGACTACACTATTTAAATGCCCAAACCTATTTCAAGTAGGACACTTTTTTTTCATAAAAGTGAGAACGTTTTTAGAGAAACGTAGTGCCTCTTTTGCCTCCCTTTAGCTCATTGAGTTGAAAACTGTGCCATAAAATCGGACACTTTCTGCTGGCTGTATCGACGTTCATGCTGTGTTTGCAAATGAATTAGGTTAGATGTATTATTTGAATTTTTAATGTAACATCCAGACACACTTTTTATTGAACAGGTTTTGTGCTGCTTGATATAGTGCCTGTATGTAAAAGAAGAAAGTTCAAAATAAGCAATAAAGTGGGGTCTATATTTTTTATCACTATTATATTGATTAACTTAACACAATATAACATTATAATCACACAAACAGAGTTTTTACAGTTATAAAAACACAGATTAGTGCCAGGAATGAAAAAGAGGCTGTGATGATTGAAACTAAGGTGCGTTCAATGAATCGTACTGTTGTTTAATAACATATTGATTGTTCACTGATTAAACATCTTTCTGGGAAAAAATAAAAATAAAAATCAGTAGACAAAAACTCCACAAACTAGTTTTTAAAAAGTTCAAAAACTCCACAAAATAGTTTTTAAAAAGTTCAAAATTATATGGTCTAGGACCTTTATACAGTGCGTGCTATTGTAAAGACTGTAATTCTATCCATCACAGCCTAATACATTGTAGCCAGACAAAAAGTTTTAACCGATATGCACTGCTTCAAGTCAGACACAATCGGTTTGGGCAGGGCTGCTTGAAGTCGAGCACACTTAAAGTGTTTTCACTGAGATCTTACAGTAATAATAAAAGTCACATAAGAGGAGGAGGTGCCTCCACATCGCTGTGATTGGCTGATTATGCTGTCAAAATGATAATGCCCATCAATGTTCACAGTCAGCCCACAAATCCACATGAATGGCTAAAACTGGTAGAAATGGGCAGACTGCAAACTAAACTGAACACTACACATCAAACTAAACATTAATATATATATATAAATGGGAAAATTAAGCCATTTTCTTAAATAATATTCATTCATTTCAGGAATTCAGCATCCTACATCGACACAATTGCATCTCTGTACTTTCACTTTTCCACTAGAAACAGCAGGCACAGTGAAACAATTGTAGCTGGGAATACTCACTGTTCTTCTTATAGAGTAGCACTTCAAAGCAATTGGACTCATAGTTATCAAAGGTCTGTCTGACTTTGTCTATTGTCTTCTTGTCTGTCAGCTCGCCGTACATGAAACTGCCAGGGGGACAGAGAGACAAAGGATGAAAAGTTGAAAAAAGGTTATGAGAATGAGAGAAGTGGGTGGGAAAGGGAGAAACAGGTGATGAAAATGAGCAAGACAAAGAGAGCAGAAAAAGACAAAAAGAGACTTAGGGAAGTGCGCACACCTGTGTGCCACACACATCCGCCCAGCAAACTCTACCTTGTCTTTCACTGTCAGTTTAACTCACAGAGTGTGCACAAGGGGCAGTGGCTGATGACACGGGCTATCAGTTACTGCAGCCACTCTATTTAACATGTGGAGGCTGGACAAACAGTAGATGCTGAGCCACACTTCCGACATGTTTTACCCTTAAAGGGTTAGTTCACCCAAAAATTTAAATGCTGTCATTAATTACTCACCCTCATGTCGTTCCAAACCCATAAGACCTTCGTTCATCTTCGGAACACAAATTAAGATATTTTTGATGGAATCTGAGAGCTCTCTGACCCTCCCATAGACAGCAATGGTACTACCACGATCAACGTCCAGAAACGTAGCAAGGAGATCGGTAAAATAATCCATGTGACATCAGGGATTCGTTTTCTACGTTGTTTGTGCTTTGATTTGAACGAAAACAATGTATCCGTGTGATGCGGCTGACACAGAACAACATACGCTGTTTGCATTCAGTGGATACTCTCCAAAATGGTGCTAGGGTGACGCGGAGGAGACAAATTGTTGAATAAAGTGTTTTTTTTTCTTTTGTGCACAAAAAGTATTCTCGTAGCTTCGTAATATTACGGTTGAACCCCTGATGTCACATGGATTATTTTACCGATCTCCTTGCTACGTTTCTAGATGTTGATCGTGTAGTACCCTTGCTGTCTATGGGAGGGTCAGACAGCTCTCAGATTCCATCAAAAATATCTTAATTTGTGTTCTGAAGATGAACGGAGGTCTTACAGGTTTGGAACGACATGAGGGTGAGTAATTAATGACAGAATTTTCATTTTTGGGGGGAAATATCCCTATAAGGTTAAGTAAAAGGAAGGCAACATTACATTTGAAACAGTTCAGGAAAGCAGCAAAATACAAGGTATTCTTGTGTTTTTAGTGACTGAAGTTCTCATAAATGTTTGCAAATAAGTTGGCGACACTGGGGTTCAAAAGTCTAAGACCACATAGAAAATCTGGCAGTCAAATTATAATTCTAGCCTGGAAAAATACAAGAGGTTTTTTTGGGGGGGGGGAATAAATACAACATATTTATAATTCTGTCCTATTTTTTTTAATTAAGTAAATTTGTGACAATGATCATTTGAACATCTTTGTACAGTCCTTAGTTCATGCTGGGAGAAATACAGAAAAATCTGAAATTCATGTTCATTTTCTAATTCAACTTTTCACTTGTTTGGCTGATTATAAAATTTGCAATAAAATTGTGCATCAAATTTAAAACAAAATGCCAAATTGAAGCATTACAAGTGGTTTCAGACTTTTAGATAATACAATTTAATAATGATAACAAACATAGACACTCAGAAAATTCTTTAAATTAACATTTTACAAAATATTTAAATAAAAAATAAAAGACAAAAATGTTCAATATAAAATGACAAAGCTGTAGTGAAGTGAAGTGACATGTGGCCAAGTATGGTGACCCATACTCGGAATTAGTGCTCTGCATTTACCCATCCAAAGTGCACACACACAGCAGTGAACACACACCCGGAGCAGTGGGCAGCCATTTATGCTGCGGCGCCCGGGGAGCAGTTGGGGGTTTGGTGCCTTGCTCAAGGGCACCTCAGTCGTGGTATTGAAGGTGGAAGAGAGCGCTGTACATTCACTCCCCCCACCTACAATCCCTGCCGGTACGAGACTCGAACCCACAACCTTTGGGTTATGAGTCCGACTCTCTAACCATTAGGCCACAACTTCCCAATATCCTTTGTAGATATTGGAATTGACAAAGAAGAGTTAAGACGTGGAATGAGAATGTGTGGTGGATCATTTTATGAGAGAGCTTGTAGCATAAATCTGCATGATTAGGGATTCCAGTTATGAGCAAACAATGAACAACGTCAAGTGTGATACAAGTAAGACTTTATTAACTACATAAACAATTAAACTAGTCTAACATACTACATAAACACACACACACACACGCATACAGTTGGTATAGGAAAGGGTTAAAGCTTAACTCAGTAAACAGGAGAGAAAATAAGAATATGAAGTTATGGACCCATTTGCATATTCAGCAGATCTACCGCCTGAAGGAAACATCAGATTCTTAGTTCAAACACACCTTTGTAAAAAGGTGCAAATGATACCTAATGTATCAATTAATAAGACTAAGTTTGATACTTGCACGTCTCGTCTGTCTGAAAGAAAGGCTTGATGCAGTCCAAAGGTTCAAGTTGATCTTTGCTGAAGTTGGTTGATGAAAAAGAACCAGTTTGAGTCAGAGAATCTTGGTGAATGGAAAAGTCAAGGCCGAAGCCTGGCACGTACTTCGGGTGTCCTGGAGCGTTTGCGCACATCTTCATCTTCTCAGAATTCAACCAAACCACCGACTAGGGGTGGGTCACTGGTGTGAGGCCTTTAAGGTCTGAGAAGATTCACGCCTCTCAAGATGGGCTTGTCCAATGAGAAAGGCCGGAATCTCAAGTGGGAGTTTTGAGATACTGGGGAGTTTTTATGACCCTTTGTGTGAGGGCATGGTAATTTGCAAATGGAACTTGAATCAAAATTATTAAAAGATTCTCAGGACACTAATATATTGCCTATTTACCAACATATAATATACACTCTCGTTTAGATCACCAGAAGACGAATTCGTAGATACTAAACATGGTAGGATTACATATAGGCAAGATGACAGGAACAAGTGGTTCCATCATAAGCCTGCATAAAACAGTATAAAATATCAAAGACAACATACACAATGACCTGAAGGATATGTGTGTTCATTCACAGAAAGGTTTTTCTATGAATTAATTAGAGAAGAGTCCATTTCTACTGTGCATTGTGTCTCTTCCTATGGAAAAGGTAGTGCTTTTCTCTACTTCGCATTCCTTTGAGCAATAAAACCAGTGCTATCAGCCGTGGTTGCCATGGAACCTGGTGTCTCTCTGAGGTGTTAAGATGCATTACGGGGGAAGGGTCCATAGGTCCTCATATGGCTTGTTAACTTAGGGGTGTTACAGAGTATTTGTTAAATATAGCAAACAAAATATATATTGTGTGTTTGATTGGTCCAGATGCTACACTACTCAGAGATTTGTAGTTTCAAATCCTCACCCTTATTGCTTTAGTTGACAAAGGCTTGTGCCAATTCTACCTCTAAAATTCCCCTTGAATCCTGAGTCAATCTGGAGTCATATCACAGTCTGTAGGCAGATCTATATAACTGCATGGAGGTAGAGCCAAATCGCTGCAGTTGGTATTTCTATTTCTGCTCCGATGATTGGCACCTTACTGAGCATATTTAGCGCTAACAAGGTGTTCAGTGATGGCTCAGGAGAAATGCGCTCTCTGAGTGGCTAAATAGCACACACAGATTCTACTATGGCTCAACACAGCTGAACTGATGTGAGAAGTGTGTTGAAGTGGTGTGAGAAGTGTGTGAGAAGTGTGTTTTAGCATCATTAACTCATTAACTCAAGCAGAGTAAGAAAATGACGCTTCTGTCCGTAACACTTCACCAAATCATTAGCGAAACATCCTCAATTGTCTGATGAGTGAAATTAGCAGAAATAGCGGTCAGTTCTCACTTGAGGAAGACAAAAAAAAACAATAATAAATTATCAAATTCTGTCCTTTCTCTACTTCATATTCTGCATTGCATCAGTTTAATAGATTCAGCTTCTGCTATCCGAGCATAATCCCTCTGGAAAAGTTTGTGAGACTCTCTTTTCGTATCCAAAATAATGTAATTCTGTGAAAACACATAATTTAGTTATGATGCACACTAATGCATTTTTGGATCCTGCATGCCTTAGCCTGAAAAGTTGCGAATATAAATTTGAACCACATCACTGTCTGTCCTTGACTACTGAATAAGGACAGGGTAAAAATAGACAGGTGGGAGAGCCACTCACCTGCAGGTGCTGCTCTTCTGCATGACCTCTGCCCTATGGTAACCAGACAGCTTGCAGAATCCGTCATTACTGTAAACTATAGGCCATTCCACGATTTGCGCATTCCCCAACAAGAAACTTGTCTCTGCAATCAAATATAAGAGATGGGACGAGAACACGTTTATTAATGTGCATAAATAACTAATTATTACAGTATATTTAGTGTTCATATTATCGTCTGGCACGTCAGTTTAGCCAAGTTGTATCTGTCACATGTTTGGCTGTAGTAAGGAATTGCACAATAAAAGGAAAACATATAGGAATAAATTTTAATAAACATCTCACAGGAAACACGTAGAGAAACAATCAAACATAAAATTTAAACTTAGACGAACAGGGATGTCTATCATGTCTGCATTCACAGGCTGACGTCAAGCAAAACCCCGCCCCCTCTCTCCTGAACTGTCAGAAGACATCCAATCGGCCCGAGAGAGAGATCCGATCGGTTATCCAGATAGAGAAGTCGCTTGATGTTGCCAAGTGTAAACGCGACATGTCCTGATTGACTGATGATCCGATCTGCTTGATTGGAACACAGCCTTAATCTAATCATCTTAGATGACCAGACACCTTTTTTCCAAAGGTTAAACACTTCCCTTTCAATGGCAATTTGTTGAAAAGAAAAAAGACTTGAGTTTCAAGCCCTAATTTGTACTCCATTTGTGGAAACTGCCTCAGTTCATTCTTTCATTTGACAAATTGAACTGCAATGCAGTCTTGGCATCAATGTAATTGATACACGGTGGTCTAGCCATAGCAGGTGGGTTAAAAACCTGAACACTGTTCCTGTGAGACTGTGCCATTAAAATGACCAAGTCATCCTCTCTAGTCTTCATTAGTTTTTTAGTGAGGCTAAAGACAGCTGACTTCAGCCTCCCAATGCAGGTATAAAAATAGACAGGCAAAGAGGACATTACAGCACCGGAAACAAAGCAAAGCACAAATTGTTACAGAAATGTCTGTGACAATACAAATCCTTACACACATAAACGCAACCACAAACAGAATCATCTTTTCTCACACACACACAAGGCTTTTATAATGCAGCAGAGCTACAGTTCTCTCTGGACACATGCAGTCCTTCCCTGAGGAAAAGAGAAAGAGAGAGAGAGAACGTGGCATTTGACACAGCCATTAAAAAAGGTGGCCACTTCTCTCTTTTATTGAATAGTCTCCATTATCTTTCCTCCTCCTCCTCTTTCAGTTGGCCTCCGCAGGACCGGTTGAAAAGAGAAGCGGAAAGGATAAAGTGAAGTGCTGTCCCCTTGAGGAAGGAGAGCTGAGACTCATTACAGTGGTCTCCATGCCATGGCCCCTGCCCTCGGACCAGGGGCCAATTGCGAGGAAGTGCTCCCTGAGAATGCAAAAGAATGAGATCCTGTTTGCAGATCGGGGCTCGGTTATATGATAATCATGTAATGCTGTCACTGATGATATATCGCATTCTCAGCCAAGACAGCACGTTCAGACTAATAAAGTCTCTGCCAAGAAGTCAAGCATTAATAACTAATATAGAAAAGGAGCTCAGGCGAGTGGAGCAGGACCATGTACAGTCACATCCACAGCATAACCAATACAGGAAATTCTATGAGTGGAATGAATGGTGGTGCAATGAAAGTCATTGTAGTTTATATGTTTTTAATTACTTTTTTCTATTGATTTTTTTTTTAAATTTAGGTCTATTTCTATTTTTTATTTACTTCAGTTTTTATTAGTTTTAATGGAGCCCCTAAGGGGACGTAGTGATGTATTTCCATGCTTTTGTGCAAAAAATTGTGTTTACTCGTAACAGGGCTATTATAGTTAATAAAAATAAAATGAAATCTATTAAAAAATTGTTACTTGAAATAACATAGAAAAAATACAAAATATAAAAATAAAGATGTTTTAGTTTAACTTGATGTACTAAAATAACTAAAACTTAAGCTAAATTAAATTGAAAAGCTATATAGATATATTTAAAAATAAAAAGCAAAAAGTCATTAATTTGGCAAAAAAAACACAATATGTTTATAAAACTTTAACAAAATTAAACTGAAATGAAAAATATAAAAACTAACTCAAAATATTAATAAAAACTATAATAGTATCTCAATGATCCTAAAATAATACTGGTTCACAAAAGCATAACATTTATTTATTATATACCATATATCCAAAACTAAACATGAATTTGTGGCCATTTTTATTTTATTGTATTTACAGTTTGGGGCTATGAAAATGAATTTTAATTTAGTTTCTGTTTTTCCCAGTAAAGTTTTTATTTCAGTTAACAATAACAACACTGGCTGCAATAATGAAAATTATAAAACAAAATAATTATTTATAATTAAAACTTATATGGACAAAAATTGTTGAAAAATTCTTCAAAATCTCTTTTGTGAACTATACCTTATAGAATTCAAAGACTGCTTTATAAAGTAATGCAATACACAGAGCACAGATGCACCCCAAGGCAAAAAGAGCATCAATTTCACAGGGCATAAGAGGACACAGCTGTTTTGTCTGGCAGCATGTAAAATCAATGGAATATTGAGACTAGAAAGACTTTAATCTTTATAATCTCACTTGAGGCAAAATGGATTCGAAAACGGTAAAACTCAACTGTTTAACTCTAGGTGAGTTGGAAAATTTGCCTATTTTCAAAAATAGTGGAGTGTTCCTTTAAATAACATAGAACAATAAGCTTGTATTTGTTGTATTTATTCATCTTTGTTAATATTAGTTGATAAAAATACAACTGTTTATTGTTAGTTCATGTTAGCTTAGGTCCATTAAATAATATTAACATATACAACTTTTGATTTTGATAATGTATTAGTAAGTGTTCAAATTAACATCAACAAATATTAATAAATGCTGCAGAATTATTTTAACTGTTAGTTCATGTTAACTCATGTATAACTATGTTAACAAATGAAACCTTATTGTAAAGTGATACCAAAGAATTTGTCAAATCAACTACAGACTTGTTTAACAATTTAATAATTTTTAATTGTCATAATCTCCTTCATACACAACTTATGTAAATTACTGTAAGAAAGGGAACATTTGGAAAGGCAAAGATTTATTAATATCAAATGAAAAAAACACAAATGTCACTGATGGTAGCAAGATCTAATCTGATTGGCTGCTAACTTCCATTTTCTGATATATATTTCAATAAACATGCTCCTAAACGCTACATGAAAGCAAACTGTGGTTGGTTGCTTCAGGCAGTCTTATTCAGTTAAAGTTTTAAGCTCTTGGTCACAAAAAGCTGCAACAAGGACCAAGTGCTGATCTTATGCCACACGTCAAACATCTGACTAGGCAAGACTAAAATAATGTAGACAATCAATAAACACACAATAAGTGTGTGAAAAGATGATCATCGCACAATGAATAACAGCAATAGCATAAGGTCAACAAAACCCAAAACAATACACTATCCACACAATTTATTCATGCTGCAATGCATGATGGGAGCTTGCATGTCAGCAATATTGTTCAATATAAATCTGTTTGTTCTGATGAATCTCTCAGACTAGTAGCAACAACATTCCAGGGGAATATTATTGTTTTTATGTAGCAACAACATTCCAGGGGAATATTATTGTTTTTATGTAGCAACAACATTCCAGGGGAATATTATTGTTTTTATGTATTCAAAGTCATTCACATTTTTAGTAGTCTGGGGGAAAAAAGGTTTTCCTTGACATTTGCAATGCAGTGTTCCAACAAGAGAGACAGGCCATGATTCAGATTCAAAACTTTCAGATTTGACAAAAGCGGGAAGTAGATTTATAAATTGCTCTGATTATTAAAGTCTGTGTGTAAGAGTCTCTGCTGTCAGACAATTTGTGGCCTTTTCTCTGGCTCCATCACCTCTCGTTGTCTTTCTTTATCTCTCTATAATTCTCTATTCAATTACAGTTGACACTTTGTGTGTGTCAGCATTTGACTCCATTACTTCCAGCAAGAGGAGAGATGTCCGCGGCATGCATTAGGAAACAACCACTGCCAATCTCCGGCCAAAGATCCTACCTTAAACAAACGGCTTTGAGGATAGTTGTCGATTCAATCTCAAGCGCACAGTTTAGAAATTCCAATATAGAGACGGTTCAGACAGGGGCAGATGGACTTTAAGATCTCCTGAGGATCAGGATTTCCTGATGTGGCTTTGAGCCTGAGAAAATATACTGCCGTTCAATGGTTTGGGGTCAGTAAGATTTTTTTTCTTTAATTTATGCTTTCATTCAACAAAGATGCATTAAATTCATCAAAACTGACAGTAAAGACATTTCTATCATGAAAACTCTCTGAAGATTTTATCATGGTAATGGACATGACAATGTTAATGTATTTGGTCTTGGCGGAATAGATCTGCTACGCTGCTGCTGCTAAATTGCTGCTACTGTTGGTTATTGCTGTTGTTGTAGATTATTGTTGCTGCTGCAGCTGCAAAGCAAGTACAGGAATTTACTACTGCCAATACATATGCCGATATGTTGCTGAGCGTATTTAAGACATACTGCTGCTGCACAGGTAGCTTATTCAAATTCGAATTTATTTGTATAGCGCTTTTCACAATACACATCGTTTCAAAGCAGCTTTACAGAAAATGCATGTGTCTACATTACAATTTAGAGTGATCTGTTATACATATACAGTATAACAACCCGTAGCAGATCTATACAGGTGGAGCTGGGGAAGGTGGAGTGTTTCAGAGGAACACTGAATGTGTGCTGCTAAATGCTCTAGTGAATGCTAACCAGCCATTTAAATGTAAAACAGCAAGCTCATTGGCTGCGTTTGCAACATGAACCAATCAGCTTGTGCCAAGTAGTTTAACGCTGTGAATATCATCAACTTGCGTTAACGACACATCAGCTTGTGAACTTGGCATTTATAGTACAAAAGTTTAAAGTATAGTACACAAAAAAAATGTTTTTAGCTTCCACAAAAATATTAAGCAGCACAATTGTTTTCAATACTGATAATAATAGTAAACGTTTCTTGAGCAGCAAATCATATTAGAATGATTTCTGAAGGCTCATGTGACACTGAAGACTGGAATAATGGCAGATGAAAATTCAGCTTTGTCATCACAGGAATAAATACCATTTTAAAATATATTCACATAGAAAACAGTTATTTTAAATTGCAATTATATTTCACAATATTACAGTTTTTACTGTATTTTTGACCAAATAATTGCAATCTTGGTGAGAAAAAAAAAGACCTTTCAAAAATCTTACCGACGATTTGGAATGGTAGATAGTCAGCGGCACTGTTCTTTTTCCTTGACTTTTAAAAGTTTAGTGCGACATATTTGAATTGGACATGACCGCAAATGATTTTGAGTCATATGGATCATTTTATAGTATTTTTATGATGTTTTTTGGCCTTTTTGGATCTCAACAGATGTGGTCCCCATCTATTTGTACTGGGTATATTCTAAACAGTTTCTACAAATCTCATTTTGTGCTCCCCAGAAAAAAGTTTGGAATGGCATTTTGTTTGTTTTATTGCTTTAAACTTTTTAGTTTTAGTTATATGCTAATTCAGTCTCCATCAGTAATCAAGATGAGAGAAAGCAAAACAAAACAGACAGTAGAGCTGGTGGTGGATTTTCATACAGCTACCCTCCAGGATGGAAAAACAGAGATGGTACAGACCCACAAAAACATGGAAATCAATCAAACAGCAGACTGGACTGGACTGACAACACAGCAATGCTGTAGCAGAAAGACCAGGGAAGCCTGTACTTTCTGAGGGGGCTGTCAGATACATTCTACCAATCTTATAGGCTAGAAAAAAGATGGTGGTGCAACTGGAGTCTGCAATAAATGAATCCCCAAGTAAATGCTCCCATCAGTAGGCCTGGTGCCATTAGGAGGTACAAAGTGTCTTTCCTGCACTCATCTGCATGTTACTCCTGGTGATCACTGCAATGAGAAGTAATGACATTGAACAAGCACAACCATACTTCTATTTTTGGATCTATTAACATAACGCATTCATATTTTTCAGTGTATGTGATGCTATTGCTTGGTATGTATTCTTGCACTGTCTACGTGGAAGTATGTTGGTGCACCTGCTTCTCGGTGAAAGGATGACTACAGGGAAAGTGGAAGAATAAACAGATCCTATTAGGATAAACCTATATTTACATGGAGTACACCATTCTTAGTGTCTGTGATCTTTGTGAAAACGATTTTATGTTGGCCAATATGGATCCTAAGCAAGTAAGAAAGACAGAGCATTTCCAGTTTAGATACACATCAGATACTGGTTCCCTTTGGTTTAGTGAACACAAAACACAACCAGCTCTCCATTCTGGTAAACTGTGGTTAACGTAAGGTATTACTTTCATTACATCTGTGACTTTCTAATCTGCATTCATATCTCATCACATGTCTCTGGCACTAGTCTTGTGATTTCCTTAATGGTATTTTTGTACTGTTGTGATGTTTGGTTCTCTCAAAAGTTTAATTTTACCACGGAAACTTGGTAACTTTATCGATTCTTCTAGCTTCCCTTTAATTGTTTATTGCTAATGTATATGTTTGTACTCAGTCTCATTTATTTTATTCCTCTTTTTAACTGTATTTTAAAATCCCTTTGCTGTGTGTGTGTATTTCTCTCTTTGAGAGTATGTGTAGCGTGCCTGTACACCTTACAATGTGACAAGCGTTACAAAAGAATAAGCTGAGGATGGCCGGGGGCAGCCATGCTCAAACGAGCCATGGTACATTGCATAAACCCCATACGCAAATTAACAGTTCTAAGGAGGTAAAAGAGAGAGAATAAATGAGTATAAGAACGGGAGAAAATGTATAGTACTGCATACTGAAAACAACAACAATAAAAATAAAAATAATAACATAAAAAATAGTATAATTTTAAAATAATAATAATAAGAAAAAAACACTGGAACCATTGCATATATATGCAATTTATATGCATGCAATTTATCCTCTGAACTGTCAGCCTTCAATGCTAGTACAGTATAGCTGTCCTCAATATCAAAAAGTGCTTTTGAAATCATTTAATTTCCCAGTCAGTGAGAACCCTGCTGTCATTGATTAGCCAAACATCAAGCTGACTACAAAAAGTTTCTCTAACACACTAAATCTCAGCACAGTTGTTTCTCTACTTACATAAGAAAATTGGAGGGAAATATGCACTGCTTTTGCTGTTCTAACAATGATATGTACAGGTAAAAAGCTTTATGAAATTTTTGACTTTGTTTACCCCCCAGCTGTGTGTCTCGATTCCCCTAAGTGGGCTGGCAAAACTCAAACAAACTCTGCTGTCCGCAAACAAAGGAGAAGACCTACAGGGAGGAGTTGAGTTGTAAATGAGGGACAGAGACACAAAGCCTCAGAAACTCCTACACCATTTCAACAGCTGCATTTGTGGAAGGCTTCATTATTTTGAGGTAGACATGCTGCGTATGGTGATATAAGAGGTATATGAAAAACAAATTGCTTGAGCAATTTAAAATCTTGATCGAATTATGCTCAGAGACTGGATAATTTTTGGCTATTACATAATTGACAATAATTCAGAGTTTTGATAGCATGGCTTATTATGCCCTGTTCAACTTTCCTGCCAAGTGCAATTTAAAGCCTGTGGGTGTTTCTGTGTTTCAATGAAAATGACAAAGGTGGTGTTTTTTACTTTTCGTTTTTTGAAGTCAAACCAAACCACGTCTAATCTTTCTGAAAAATATATTATTTTATACCTTACTACCACTAAATTCATAAAGACCTTTCATAAAGACCTTTCATAAAAATTCATAAAAGACCTTAACTACACATCCTTTATTTACCACCTGCACACTATTGGCTTTTTATAGCTGCATAATCAGATTGTAAATAATTATCAACTCTACAATTCCAAAACGTTTCACAAGGAGAATTTTGGAATGCTCATCATCCATACATTATTTATTCTTCACTCCTAAATTTTAATTTGTACCACTGTCAGCATGGAGCCTCAGTTGGAGCTGGCAGCTCATTGGCAGCATATCGGCACAGGCTTTAGATACATTTTTAAATGTACCTTGGTGAAATTGTGGGAAGGAAGACACTAACCTTGTCTTTTAATAACATGCAACCTCTCATTTTTATTCTTGACAGGCAATACATACTTCTTGACTCCTCCTGACTTTATCTTTGACTTGTGCCTTGTACTGATGGCTGTAAAAGTGTTCATTCATCCAAATATAGAATGCATGCACTTAAATAGGAAGTTATTAGTTATTAGTTATTAAATTAGTTATTTAAAAAGCCTATGACAAGAAAACAAATGTAAATTTAAACGCAAGAATCAATTATCCAGCCAATTCAAGATTCTGTCAGCATATTTGAATTAGTAATGGGATGAGGGGAGGATATCCAGAAACAATATGAGATCTGCTGAACAACTTCATCTGCACTAGAATTCGAAATTCTTCCACTCACTGCATCACTTAAACATTAAAATGATCACAGTGACAGTGGAGCTCACAGAATACAAATATTAGCATCTCCTTACTCCAATGACTGATTAGAATTTATAAAAAACAATGTGGAGCCTTTTTTTCTCAAAAGACGCAAGCTCTGCGTCAGATTTAGTAAAGAGTGTGTGGGAGATCCGGAGACCTTCGGAGGTCAGAGAGCTGCCCACGGCAGTTGTCAGGGCATGGTATTATGAGCTGAGAGAGCACCACATTAGCACATAAACACACACAGTTCATTAGAAAGAACTATCTGGTCTTAATGTATACAAAAATACCCAAATTTGTGTCTCCAACTTTTAAGTTTGTGTATTTATGTGAAACCGAGAGAAGAGACGTTAATAGCTTTTGATGCAGTAATCATGTGTGACCTCTGCTGGTGAGGTCCATTTACACAACCTCCTACAGAACCTGTGGCAGATTCACATGGAAAATGTATGTGAGACAAAATGACTGCAATTCACACCACAGGCGCCACGCCTTCCATACATGAGAAGATCCACAGCAAATTTTTGCTATGATCAAAAATAATTTGATGATGCAAACACCTGAGCATTGAACATGCAGATAAACCCAGGATGATTCTAGAGCCTCTTTGACTTTGGATATTAGTAGCTAATCATAATAATAACAATAATAATAATAATAATAATAATATAAAAATATAGAAAATAAAAAATATACACTGTTAAAAAGTGATTACACAGCATAAATACATTTTTAAAAATACAAAATATTAAAAAATATATATATTATTTATAGTCACATATCCATTTAACCACAATAAACTTCATGTAACAGTTTAAATATTTGGTTTAAAGTTGAACAAAAGTAAGCTAGAAAGGTTGTTTGTGTGACGAAATAGTTGTTTGTGTGACTCCACACACAAAAAAATCCACGCATTTTTTTACATGCGTCAATTGACGCAAATAAACGTTTTGAGATTACGCGAGATTCATCCCGACTGTAGGTTATTGATGTCATAAAATAATCAAGTCTTACTGATGCATTAATACATTAATGCTGATAGCCTAATGGATAGCAATAGTAAAGATAATGTTTTGAGAAGCGATTGAGCAATGTGTTGTTAACTGTGTTTAATTACTATTATTAAGGTAATAGAGCGATCAAGTTTAGCTGTTTTTCTGTTTTGCAGCTCTCTGTTTTTAATGTTTTATTAAGCACTCAATAAAGAAGATTAGCCTATGTAGAAGTGACTTTAGGTGCGTCATATCTAAATATTTAATCTTACTTTGATCAGAAAAAAATGTAGGTTTCCCATTTTTATGGAAATAAACTCACGAGCTTGACTTTTACGCATAATTCTGGGCACAATTAAAGTTAGAAAAAAAGTCAGGTACTGCAATCTGAAGAAAGCGATTATCTTACCACTTGAGCGACGGACAATATTTTCCAAAAAAGTGTTCTGTGGTGCCACCAGTCCTCTTTTTCCCCCGTGCATTCTGCGGCCGGGCAGTGTCGGTCAGGCTCGCGGACTTGCTGGAAGCTGGTCGTTAAAGTGATACAGGCGGGATGGGAATGTATCGGTGGGATGGAGAAGATCATGGTAACGCTGCGCTGCGCTGTGCCTGACTGGTATGGGTCCTTTGTACCACGGAGCGCTCGCAGTTCTGCAGGCTCCGCGCTCCCCTGGTTGGCGCCTGCGCACTCGCGAGCAGTAACAATTAAAAATTGACTGGCACAGGAATCTCGAGCGCGATGCCCGGTGCCATGGAGATGCAACACATGCAACAGGTGGTGCCTTTCGCGCGCGAATTAGAATTAAATTTAATTTAACAGTTAAAGTGAGTTACTATACAACACATGGAAGGTTCATCGTGAATATTTTATAAAACTTGTTTATTCAACAAATTTTCACATTAATTAATATGAGGTTAAAGTGCATTTCATCACGAGAGTACCGCCTTATAAAAAATAGGAACACTGAAAAAAAAATCATAAATCAAAAAATATAGGCTATATAAATTAGGCTATTGATTATTGAATTATAAATCGGGAAATGAATGTTAGCTTGAAAAACGAATTTGCTGTTAGCTTGATGGTGATTGAAAGAAAGAAAGAAAGAAAGAAAGAAAGAAAGAAAGAAAGAAAGAAAGAAAGAAAGAAAGAAAGAAAGAAAGTGAATGAATGAATGAAAATCCAACTCGTGCCATCCTTCTCTGTGGCGCCATATTTTGGGAAATGCAGTTAGATTAGCCCCTCCTGTGCCGCTGGAGTCCCCTGTCTGAGTAGGCTGTGGATAGAGCCCCTATTGTTCCCAGCCCACTCCTGCCTAATATGGAATTCGCAATGAAACCAATGATTTCCTGACACTGACGATGCGTAGCGCGTAGGGGCGAATGTGGAAAGCTGTTTGGAGTACGAAGGAAATAAACCGGTGCCACAGACAAACGGTTTCGAGGTCGGACCATGAACATGTAAAATAGGCTATCGGAATGCAAGTTGTAGGAGTTCTCGTGAGTTTTCATGAAACTGCGGTCGATGGCGGGGGATTGTTTTGGAAGAGCGCGCTAAAGCGTGGGTCACCTACTTGCCGGATTTGCCTGCGCACCGTTCGACACGCCAACTCGAGTGTTTAAACTCTGGTCACACGAAGACTACCGTCTCAAAGACTGAGATTTCTCGTCGACCGAAGACTTGGCTACCTGAGGAGAATAGCCTATAGTTTCTGGACTTGTCCAACTATCATGCCTACTCTCAGCTCGAAAAGTCGGCAGAATGCAGTGGAAGCGGTTGAGGATAGAGGCAGTAACAGAGATCCTCTCGATACTGCGGCCAAAAAGATGTTGAAATGTGTTGTGGTCGGCGATGGAGCTGTGGGCAAAACCTGTTTGCTGATGAGTTACGCAAATGATGCTTTTCCCGAGGAATATGTACCCACTGTATTCGATCACTACGCAGGTAAGATGTTTTGTATAAAGCGCTATATAAATAAATTAAGGTAAGATGGTTTTCAGCTCACAGCATTCAACTGAAATCCCTGTTTATGAAGTGTAGTTTACAGTATGTCTACCTAATCCGCCCCCCACTACAGTCGGGTAGGGGACTGTCCCAAGAATAGCCATCTGAAAGAGGAGATATCAACTGTCAGAGCGAGTATTGAGGCCCACAGACTAAAAAGTAGAAACAGGGTAACGTTACGAATTATAGTTTTGGGGGTCAGAGCCCCCTAATTTAGGTTAATAATAATTATATATTGTACCTAATGAATTTTAAAAGGGTGTATTATTATCTGTATTTAAATATAGGCAATATATACACATTTCAGCAATGTTTTCAATTTAAATCGCTTTGCAAACAGAAGTTGCGTTGGTATAAACAGGTATCCATAGCAACAGTACGTTGCAGAAAGCTTTGCTTCCAAATCAATGTCAGCCATTAATCCTTTCATTATTCAACAATAATTGAAACACAAATACTTTAATAAGTGTTTAAAACCTCTTTAAGGTCGTTGACGATTACCTTACTGTGCTAGGTACGTCAAAAGACAATTTATGTTGTGCAAGAGGTAAATAATGTAAATAGCAACAAGCTGTGGGTGCCGCAACCTGTTGATCGCAGGGACAGGCGGAATCTAAACGCGTTTCAATACTGTACTTTAAGCGTTATATCTTTGTAGAACCAAAGTGGTCACAAATGTATATACAACCAAAGTGGTTTATGGTCACAAATGTGTTGCTATCCATTGTGTTTTTTTTCCCCTCGTTCTCTCTGACTCAAACGCATTTGCAGGAAAGCATAAAGGCTTTGGTTTCTCTGCAGGGGAAAATCCCCTATGACACATGTGTGCTCCCAGAATCCCATGAGGGTCAAGTCCTAATTACACAGTGACAGACAGGTCAGCTTCAACATCCTCTGAGAACAGCAGGACACTTCCCTTACAAATATAAAGAAAGAACCTTCTTGAAAGAACTTATAGGAAGAAATACAAACAAGCCCTGTGGCCATGCCTTCCATACAATATAGTAGGTGAAAAACAGTACATGAAAAAAGTAGTGTATCCGAATTCATAGTATTGGAAAAAAAACAGTTGGCGAAAAGTACCTAGATGACTTACAACATCCGCCGAGATTATGAAGAGAACATCAATGGACACTTTACTATCCCATGAGGCCACAGGAGAGGATTTTTGAATGGCAGTGAAGGGACACAACGGACACTGGTAGGTCACGTGAAAGTAACAACATGGTGGATGTAGTACATCTAAATTTCATTCACACTACCCATTTTCATACTATATAAAAAAAATTTAACCATTGAAAAGTAAGTTTCAAACCAATATAGTACCTACTAGACAGTATGCCATTTCAGATGCAGCTAATATCTCTAATTATCAGTTTTCCCAAGCCATGAAAAATTCACAATAACTAATGTAATTAGTGCTACAAAAGTAGATGTCAGCAGCAGTCTAACAAATGCAATGCTCTTACAAGCTCTTGGTGCATAAAGACGATCTGTAAAGTTGCAAAGACTAAAGTCTCAAATCCAATGAGATATTCTTTATAAAAGTTAAGAGTCAACCACGCCTACCTAAAATGGCTCGTTCTAACACGCCCCCACATGTCTACGTCACGATGTGGGAAGATTTGCATAATGCCACCCAAATGTTCACGCAAAGAAAGATGGCGTAACTTTTATTCTCGCTGTAGTATTGTTGTTGCCACCGCCGTCATGTCGTGAAGGCGCTGTGGGTTTCGTTGTGAAAGCGAAACTACTTTGTTTGGCCTTCCAAAAGAGGGCAATATTCGCTTCGTCATGCCTAGAGCTGATCCGTGCTGGTCGCTGAGGAAATACATCAACTTCACGCTGTAGATCGCCGGATCGGCTTTCACCGTGGACGAAGCGGAGTCCAGCCCAGGGTCGTCACATGTGGTTGCCGCAAGCCCACCGGACGCTCCTTCGTCGAATCCGCTGGCCGTGCCGTTCTCAAGCCCGCCCGTCTCCGCTCACCCAAGCTCGCCGTGTGTGACACTATGTGTTTCATTGTGAAAGCGAAACTACTTTGTTTGGCCTTCCAAAAGAGGACACGATTAGAAATCAGTGGTTAAGTTGTATTTACAACACTGTTCCAGAACAGTTCAACCCAAATATTCAGATGTGTGCAACGCATTTTATGGAGGACTGTTTCCTGAACCTGGTAGAGTAGACTACAATGCCGGCTGTTCTGACTCACAGACTGTATGTAAGTTTTTTTATATTTAAAGGATTTGCCACTGATGATTCAAACACAAGTTTTGAGCAGTGGAGAGTAGCGCTTGTTGTTTGTCGTTTCTCCGATCACAAATGAAGACATGGGTTTATGTTTACGTGGCGCGATGCAAAGCACTGCGTAAAAAGGTATTGTCAAAGGATTTTCTATTGCACATTTCTTTCTAATGTGCCACATGATCAAATAAGGCATGTTTACCTGGGCTGTGCCAAAAAAGAAGAACTCTTTTCATTTTTTATGAGATTTTAATAGTATCCTGTGTTGTAATTTCCTCCAGCTGGCCAGTGCAGGCTCAGGACAAAAGCACAGACTGAACTCATTCAAGGAGTGAGTAAAACTTTTAAACCCTTGGGAGTTGAGTGAGATGGAAAGATCTTCAGGGAGTGTAATTCTCAGTCAACTCTTGCGGTTGAATTAAGCTGATGAGTGAGGCCATCCAGAGGTCACTAAATCAGCGGTAGCGAACTCCGGTCCTGGAGAGCTGCAGCCCTGCTGAGTTCAGCTCCAACTCTAATTAAAACTCACCTGCCTGTAGCTTTCTAGTAACCCTTCAGACCTTGATTAGCTTGTTCAGGTGTGTTTGATTAGGGTTGAAGCAAAACTCTGCAGGGCTGCGGCTCTCTAGGACTGACGTTGTGACAAATCTGCACTTTTTCCTAATGAAAAAAAAAGCAATAAAAAGCCTGACTGAGCAGATTTTAACCTTATGGTTTTTAACCCCTTAACTGTCACCATCACACTGGAGGGACTCTTTTTTCATTGTCTTTTTCCCATCACATATTTTAGTAATCATCATAATTTATTTATCCTTCAAAAGCCTACAAACTCAAAATTCATCCTGTGAAAACCATTTTGAATTTGGACATTATGTTACTATGGAAATCTTTTAGCGGTCTCCTTCCCCTTAGTGGGCGGTGTCAAGTGTCACATTACAAAATGTATTAGGGTATTTTACAATCTAAACTTTTCATAATCTTGACAAAATACATATCATTGGAAAGGTGGTTATTTTGTGATAGAAGTAATACTGAGAGAGAAATGTATACTGTACATATGTGATAGAAAAATGCATCAAAAAATTCAATGGAGTTTGGATGTCACCTGGTGGCTATAACAACATTTCAGAGGAACCTCATTTTTTTTACATCAACTTCAAATTTGGAACATAACTTATTTAGACATGTGACTTTAATTTATTAGCAATTTTAGATTTATTTTATATAAAATACAAAAAATAGTACAGGTCATTTTCTTTATACTAAATTTAAACTTCTATAACTTTTTTATACTTTTAAAAAAAAATGATTTCACTTCTGC